CCAGGCTTGCTCGTGAAAAGAGCAACGAGTGTGTGTGTGTGAGTGAGTGTGTGTGTGTGTGTGTGTGTGTGTGTGTGTGTGTGACTAACAATCAGCAGCGCCTCATAAAAGGATTAGTGACCTCTGCAAAAGAGTGCAGGGCTCTTCAAAGCCTCAGCAGGGCCACAATAGCGCTGACATTTGTCCGTCCCGGGACGGGGGCCGCGAGTGGCGGGACGGGGGCCTGCTCTACTGCTTTCTGACAGTGAGAGGAGGACAGGAGGACAACCTCCTTTTCACAGCCCACCTCTGGCCCCTTCCAACGGGCTGCCACACTGCTTATGTACTCCTCCATTTTTCTCCATTCATCCGCAGGGCTGCTGATGGCTCCATTGGCCAGGATATCTCTCTCTCTCTCTCCCTCTCTCTCGCGGGGTCGCCCCTCGCTGTCCTCCATTTCTATGTCAATGGCAGGCCAGAAAGATAGATTAGATTTCACTTTAATGATTCTGTGTCGCTGCACTTTTTTTTCTTATCCCATCCAAATTGGTATTTAACAATGCATTCTTCCCCAAGCGCGGCGTAGCTATGGACCTCTGCCATTGATGTGCCTGCGGAGTGGTGCTCACAGATAAAAAGCTTTAGTGCTGCCTTATAGACTGAATTGCCATTTGCTTGGAGAGTGTCAATAAGCTCTGGCTTTCCCACAGCTGCTCTGATGCTCTGTATTTAATGTTTTATTAAGAAATGTCTGCTCAGATTGGTTGGAGTAAAGATACCATTGGTTTATAATGCAAAAAGCCAAATGAAGTGGCGAGAAGGTGTCCATGTCTACGCTGATGTATGTATGTGAATAGAGGTGGGCGATATGGCAAAAATACATTATCACGATGCTTCATGACATCTTAATGATACACAATATGCATCACAATATATTGGTTTTGTGAGGACTGATAAGTTTGAACAGACAAAAAAGAACGCATAGCGCCTTGTTTAAAAAATATACCAACAAAACTATGAATACAATGACTTTTCATTAGCATTTCACATTCTGCACTGAACTTAATCCAGTTGACAGGCCTAATTATGCTCCAATTGCAATGAAAAATGCAGATGTTCTGTGTTCTTTAGGGACTGACGGTATCAACGATATGCTCAGAAAAACATACTGTGATGTAATTTATCACGATATTGATGAATATTGTTATATTGTGAATGTTAAGTTCATTTTTATTTAAAAAAAAAGTAAACTTTGCAAATATTGTAGAAATGTCAAGTATGGCTGGAAACAAAACAGCCAAAATCTTGAAACTCCAAACTGAAAATTATCCAATCAGAATTTTTGTTCTGCGTTTATGCTGGCAGATACAGCCAAGTGAGCTCTCCCATTGGTTAGGCCTTCAGGAACTGAACTGAAGGTCTAATGTGTCAGATTAACCACAGATGTAACTAGAAATTGACAGTTTCTAGTCAATCAATCATGTTTTGATTTTCAATGGGAGTAATTTTGAGAACTTAAAAAGTAAGTAAAATGAATGTAACATATACGATTATTGTTCTGTTAACTTACTATTTGATGTTCAATGAACTTGAAGTTAGAAGACAGTCGGCTTATTTTGGAGATGTTTGTTTTTTTCTTTTTTGGGGGACAGTGATGTGTTAACGTGTCATAAGCTTCAAAAAAAAACATGAAATGTCTTTTACAAGAATGTCCATAAATGCTCATGTGAACTGCTGTTAGCTTAATGCTAACATACTATTAAAATCTCATAGGGATGCTAGCAGACATTAACATTTTTATAAATCGTTTTTTCTCTATGTATGACTTGAACTGGCCTAGCTCTAACAGTCACAATTTGCCATTAGTGGTGCATTGGCTTACGTGTCTCATTATGTTTTGTGTGTAGGTGTGTGTGGTATGTAGGTCTCTATGTTTGGGTGTGTTTGCTCTTCTTCCTCTAGTTATCTTATGTGTATTGAACAGAAAAGGCCTTTCTCTGTTGGAGTGCTGAGCCTGGCTGGGAGTGTTTGAAGGAAAAGAGGAGTCTCTGTTGATTACTGCTTAATAAGCACAAGAACATCTACTTATTGCCGGATAAACTTATGAGAACACATATCCCACCATCAGCAACCTCTGCCTATAGCTATAAGCACAGCAGCCATGAATGCACTTTATTTACTAAAGAAGAGGACATTACTGCCCATGATGACACATGTTAATAGCAAAGCATATCAATCTTTGACTTCATATCGTCACCAACTCTCACCTAACACCCAACACAAAATGTTCAGGCCACCATTAGCAATAACTATAATTCCTTTGTACTGTATCTTTTACAATATTTACATATGAAAATATGTATAAAGATATTAGACTATATAACTGTCAGGATCTCTCCTCTGATTATAAATATTAACGAATGGTTTCTTGCACATTTATTGAACTAGTCCTAACTCTAATAAAATACATTTAGGGCATCAATCAAATAATATTAGAGACTTGATCCAGCTATTATGGGCAACCAGGTGGTATGGGACGTTTTAAGAAGCTCTTATTTTTTGTGTATCTATCTTTTTTATTTGAATTTTAGCTGATGGTTAGAACTGAAAATAAGCTCATGAATAGCAAATGTATTTGTCTTGTGGGAAATTGAATAAAAGACTATGTTTACCATTTAGGGCCTATGACATGTAAATAACATATTATATCCTTAAAATGGTTCGTCAGGCATTCTTTAGTAACACTCAAAGAACCAATGGGAAGCAATGATTGCTTCTCTGCACTGTTAAATGGGTCTTCTGTGACTACAGTTCTTTGAGGAACCTTTTAAAAACAGTTTTGCATAGCAACAAAAAGGGTTCCACTGTTGTCACAAGTGAAAGAAACTATTTTTGGTTTAATATTGAACCATTCTTGCTACCACAAAAACACTGTCCCATGTTACCCACATGACCTGATGTCTAATAATAGTTGAATCCATCTTAAAACAGAAAGTCAAAGCTCTAACGCTTATTGTCTTTCACTATCAAAAATCCCATTTTATGTAGGTTTAGGATTGATCTTAATATAGATCTTGGGCCCTAATTAATAAAACATATGTAGTTTCTCAATCCAATATTATCAGATGTGAAAGGAATCAGGATGTTAAAGCTTTTCTAAAGCGCATGTAGTGCCTCTGTAGGTCTCTCGTCTTTAGTCCTGGCCAGTTCACTGCATTCCACGCGCCCTCGCAGCTCACCTGCGGCGCGTGCGCTACAGGCCTGGCGCTGAGTGGACATCAGTGCGTCCATTTCGGGAAAAAAAAAATTCGAAAAAAAGCTTCGCAAGACAGCAACTAAAAAACAGACCGGAAAAGAAGTCCCGGCTAGAATATTAGATTATTATATTATTAGGCATTCTTGGCCATCGGGTCACATGTGACAATTTAAGAAGCTCTTGTTTATTGGATTTTTTTTCTAAATGAACAAAAGAGAATGCAGTAAATAGGATCTGTATATTATTGTTATTATTATTATTATTATTATTATTATTATTATTATTATTAGTGGGGAATGTTACCAAATAAGCAAGTGTCCTGCATAATACTGAATCCAGTCTAACTCTATTGGGATTGAATGTTGCGCAAGTGTGGCCCCCATTTTCTTTGCACTATTAGAAACTTCACATTTCACACAAGTTTTCGTTAAAATAGTAACATTTGTGATCATGACAGTTCTGCAGGATGGTGGTCTCCTGCTTAAACCCTAGTCCCAATGCACGTTTTCTGTGGAAACAGGGATTTAAGAACAGATACTTATTGTGTAAATCAGATTAGGAGCAGCAAGCTGTAGAGTTGTGTGTTCAATAAGGGATATTAGAGAACATGCCAGTCCAGATAAGCTATATAATTTAATTGTATTTCATTAAAGTTTACCAAGACGTGAATGGCATAGATTTTATTATATATTCTATTTATATATAGGGAAATATTGAAAAATAGGTTTTAACGCTGGACAGGGGCTTGTACTCATCTGTTATTTTAGCTTGATTTTGCACTAGAATATATTGTAAATAAGCGAGTCTATTTATGTCTAACAGAAAAAGATGTTTGAGGTCTTATGCAATAATTCGTCCTCCTGAACTTTACTGACATCACAATAAAACTGTGAAATCGTCACCCGAGAGATCTCCACAATCTCCATCAACCCTTTCTCAAAAAATCGAACTGATTAAAGCATTTTAAAATCCATAAAGTGAATAAACTGCCATGCCAGTGTTATCACGCCGCTCTTTCCCACCTATAGGATTAAAGAAACAGAGGGTCAAAGCAAGAATCCCGTGCACGGGAGGCTGGAGCAGAGCGAGCAGACTGTAGAGGGAGCTCCAGCTCCAACTTTGCCAAAGTTTCTCAGGCCCAGAACAAAGCTGCTGCCATGCAAATGGTCTTGGAGGGGGGAAAACAAACATAAATAAATGATTTCTCAGTGTATCGGAGGCATATGGCAAGCAGCGCCGCATCAGCGTCTGATTAGAATTCATTATACATTTTTAGAAAGAGAAAAAAAAAAATTCTTATGAGAGCAGAGAGGAGAGAAGCAGAGCGGAAAGACCTTTTCTTTTAGGATTAAAAAAAATTCTCGTTCTGAGAAATTCCTCTCTGTTCTCAGTTACTGTCATTTCAGCGACTGAGCTGTGCGCGATTTGCGGCCAGTGTAAATGAAATAATTATTCATTTCATATTGGCTGCTACGCCTCACTGAGGATAATCCCCATCCATTAATGGCCAAATGTGCGATTCAAGACGGAGCTAATTACAGTTAAGTCCCTGCAAGAGGAAAAACACTTCAAATCATCCAGTTCGCGCTCAGCCAAAGCCCATAACCTCCAGTGAACTTTCCCCCCCTAATGCCACAACGCAGCAGCTCAGCCGCTCTGCACTGGACATCTCCCAAATCTCCAAAATCTCCCAAATCTCACAAATCTCTCACAATCTCCGAAATCTTTATCTCAACACACTGCGAAGAAGAAAAAACGGAATTGCTTTAATTGCTTTAAGTTGCAGCGGTTCATTTATTAGCCAAAATATATACTTTCTTGTACAATTTTGGATCACAAGTATGTACATTTTCTTTACGTTATATATACAAAACAATTTCAACATTAAATCCTCACAGAACTTACAAAACGAAAGAAAAGAAAAAGGAAGAAAAACAAAAACAAACAAACAAAAAAACTCACAGACTACAGTTTCTTACAGCATTGCATTAGCAATTTTACACAAGACATGCTTACAAGGTAAGTATACAGGAGGGCTGTTATTCCACTTTTTCTTTTTTCTTTTTTTCTTTCTTTTTTTTTTTTAAACATTCCTTAAAACAGGTTAAAATTGAGATTTATAAAAGACAAAAAGAGCCCCTAGGAGGAGGAAAGGACTGATAACACCATGGCAGCTTCAAGTGGGGTTCTGAGGCCTACGGGAGACATGGGAAATTAACAGTAAAGGGTTTGGGGAATAAGAGGTGGAAAATTCAAATTAAAATGGGAAACTTAATTGCGCGAGAAGGTTGAGAAGGGAATCGCGTTATTCCTTTGAATTATTTGAATTATTGCCAAACGACGCGCTTGAGATTACGGATTCTTGGTGTGACGTTTCACATTAAACTGCACAAGAGGAATTCAGCTGTATATATATATATATATATATATATATATATATATATATATATATATATATATATATATATATATAGCGTCTGTTGAATAGTCCAATAAAAGAAAGCAGTGAAGCAGGTTAATATTAAATATCCACCTGCGTAAACAAGTGTCTGTTCTTGGCTGTTTTTACTGTTCTCTGCGTCCAAGGCACTAAATCTCTCTGAAATCATAACAGCAACAGAATCAATTTAGACGTAACATACCGAAAGTTTTGGAGTCTTTTTTCACAGCTAACGTCTAAAGCCAGTCAGCACATGTTCCAGAAACGCCAACGCCAACACCCCTGTCGATTTCAATTTCAAAGGTTATCCAGATACAAATGAGGAGTTCAAGGACAAAATACATATAAAAGTATTTTAATTTGCATTTTCTTTCCCTCTGCTTGAGCATGCTCCTTCTGTTTCTGACACATCTCATGCCACATTTTGAAGTGTTTTGTGAAGCCATTGAAAGTAGAGGTTTGAAAAAAGAAAAAAAAATGAGGCGTAAGGACTACCGAAAGGAAAGCAGTGTTCTTAATAAGCCTGTAAAAGTCTCCGGACAGTCTCAGTGAGGGTGGCATGTACCTGTGGCCGCAGTCTCTGAGCTGGGACTCCGCTCCTCCGCTTGCCTGTTGGAGTAGAGGGCCGAAGCCTGGTTGGCCAGTCCCAAATAATGGTTCGAGTTCAGTAAGGCGAGCTGGTGCGCGGAAAATGCCCGGTTCGCCCAGTTCTGAATTTTCCCAACGGGACACGAGATGAGTCTGTGAGGAGGGACGATGGTCTGGGCGCCGGGCCCGGAGGAGGTCCCGTTCATTAGGGGAGATTTGCGGGGATTGTCCGGGGTCGTCGCCGTCTCGGCCAGAGACCAGATCTTGGGTTTCTGGACGGGGGGCGGGTTGTTTTCGTTGGGGGGGGAGTTGGGGACCTGGTTAAGTTTGATTTGTTCGCCGTTGGGCGCCTGCATTTTGAGGTCCAGAGCGTGGTGGTGGAGGTGGTGATGATGGTGGTGGTGGTGGAAGTTCTCGGCCCGGTCCGCGTGCGCGTCTTTGCCCTCTTTGACCACGGCTTTCAAAAACTTTGGATCGGGCCCATGTAAATCCTCATAGCCGTCTGAGATCTCCGAGTCGCAGCTGCCGTCCAGCTTCAAATCGGAGTGCAACTCGTCCTGCTCGTCCAGGTCGTCCTTGCTCTCGATGTTCTCCGTGTCGATGTTCTCCAGGTCGATCTCTTCCTCGTCCTCGCGCTTGTCCCCGTCCTCGCCCTCGTGGTCGCTGCCGTACACGTTCCCTTCTTCGTCCGTGCGGTTCCGGGGCGCCCACGTCATCTTGTTCTCCTTCTTCAGCCTCCTCCTGGCGTTGGCGAACCAGGTGGACACTTGGGTGAGGGTCATCTTAGTGATGATGGCCAGCATGATCTTTTCGCCCTTGGTGGGGTACGGGTTCTTCCGGTGCTCGCTCAGCCAGGCCTTCAGGGTGCTCGTGCTCTCGCGGGTGGCGTTCTTGGGTCTGGACGGGTCACCGAACTGGTACTGGCCGTAGGGGTAGAAAGCAGCGTGATGAGGGGCAAACGCTGGGTGCTGGACACCTGGACTGTCCTTTAGTTCGTACTGAGCTCCCTGAACACACAAGAAAGCACAGTGTTAGTACGTGTGGATAAAAAACAACTCAAAAGAAAAGTCAATAGAACTTTTCCTGAAGGTTGGTTAGGACGTGTATGTACATGTAAAAATATTAATAAATTATGTGGCCATGTTTAAGAAGCGGGTCAGCAAATAATAACAAAGTAACAGCAAATCTTTTTTCGTTTTCCTCATAATATTCGTTTGTTATAAAGAATTATTAAGAAAAAAGAAAACAAGAACCATGTGAGCGCTCATGTTTCAGCCAGCAGAAGTAAATATTAATGTTCTGACTTAAGCAGCACCACGCGCTTGTCCTGCTCATTATTTCCACATGTTCGTGGCTTTGCAGTCCAGACAGAATTTCTAGAGTTGGAACTGTCCCGTTGGTTAATAATTTGTTACTTTTTTCGGCCCATTTCGTATTTACAAAACGGAGTCAACAGCAAAGTTCACGGCTGGCTTGCAAAAGACTCCCGTGCAGACTGCTTGGCGTGGAAACGCGCTGGGATCTAATTTCAGTTTGTATTCGAGAAGCCAAAAGAAAGAAAGAAAAGAAAAAGAAAGAAAGAAAAAAAAGCGAAGGTGGTTTGCAGAGAGAGGAAAGAGGAGAAGTCGGCACTTACCAGCTGGTTGAAAATGGACAGGTCGTTGGAGTAAGGGAGGAAAGCTCCGTAGGTCTGCGCGGCGGCGAACGGGGATCCGTACATGGAGGACAGCACGCTGGAGAGCGCGCCGGACGGGCTCAGCTCGGGCCCGCTGCGCCCGCCGCCCATGCCCTGCCTCTCCTGCGGGTATATCGGCCGGATGTACTGATATCCCAGCTGCGGGAAGGACATCGTGGTCGGGGGGGAAAGGGAAGAAGGAGAAGGAGAAGGAGAAGGGGGGAGACGAAAAAAACAGAAAGGAACTGCGGCGATCACAACAAAAGCGGCGAGTCGCCCTTCTCGATGCGCGCTGCGATATCCACTTTACAGCGAGCGCCGAGTGCAAAGGGAAGTCTGTATTTCCTCCACAACGGCCGAGTGTAAACGATCCGCTCTCCCCTCCCTCGCTCCCCTATTGATCTGAATGGACTAAGGTCAGGTCCTTACAGATTGCCTTAGATTATTGGGACTCCTTGCTCTGATTGACATTTCTAGTCGTTCAGAGGCTCCTCCTATTTCTCAAGGCTCACCCCCACATTCTCTCTCTCTCTCTCTCTCTCTCTCTCTCTAGCTCGCTCGCTTTTTTTCCTCGTCTGGACAAGCGCGCTCCGCTCTGACGTCGCGATCTTTTATTTGAAAGACTTTCCAATCTCATTTTATGGCTCGCCAATCATTTCGTTTGGTGTCCGTTTTTTTTTCTCGCCCCCCATCCATACTCCATACCCCCACCCCCTTCACCAACTTTCTCGCGCTAATTCTCATTTCGTGGTCATCCGCACGGATGGTAAATATTTCATTCTCGTTGAGCCATTAACTTCACGCAAAGCTCTGCTTTAGTGTCCGCGTTTCGTCCCACGTGTGTTCTCCAAGGCGAGCGGACTCTGTAGCGGAGAGCTACAGAGACCCAGTTGGCAAACTTCACTGTTGCGGGACTTTTAGACGCGTAGAAAATCGCCGTGCAGTTTAAGAAGAGAGAGGGAAAAATGATTTTGACGACCGTTTTAGGCTCAGCTAACACGGAGCAGGCGACTCGGTGTCCGTTTACGCCTTTAATTTGAGACACGAAACCCAGTTGGCAAGTTAGCGTTTGATTTCAAAGACTATGCTGACAAGAGTGGAGAATTAGCGCCGTGAACAATGCACTGGCAGCAAAAGCAGTCCTCATGCATTGTGCAGGGAGCATAGACATTTGAAGTAGAAATGATCTTTTACATTATTATTATTATTATTATTATTATTGTTATCATCGTTCTGGCCACTGTTACTCACTACATTGCTGTAAATCTGTTTTAATTTCTTGAAGCATAATTACAAACTCCTCTATGTGCACTCATGTGTGAACTTTCATATATTCGAAATAAAAACATATTTCAGCTGATTAGGACCCAGGATTGCCCTACAAAGACCGACAAACGGATGGCTTTGATAGCCTCACCAGCCTCCTGTAAATGATGCGGATTAAAGAGGAAACAACGGAGTCAGAATTGAAATTCCTTGAACCAATATATGGAAATATGTCGCCCTAATCGTTTTACATTTGGACTCGGATCATCATATGTCTGCTAATCCTCTGCGAAACAAGGGCAGCGCTGAGTGCTTCACCGTTTATTTGAATACGGGACGCAGTAGCTAAAGTCTCAATTCAGTAATAACATCAAGATTAGAAGCCTATCAGCCTCTGCTAGGACTTAACCGCCGCTGGGGTTTTCCAAGAAATCTGTCCTTCAATAAACTGCTTCAATCTGCTTTAGGGCTGATAGTTATTACTGGTTAGCCATCGTCGCATGTGCCGTGTGGAACAGCCTCGGAGAGGGTGCCTGTTCAAGCTCCTCCAGCTTTTTCACGTCTTCTTCGGGACGTCCTGCCATGTTGACGTGCGCCACTCCGGGATTAAGGAAGGAGGGAGGGAAGGAGGGAGAGAGAGGAGGGAGGAATGGAGGGGGTTATTCATTAAAACAGCGGCCCGATGCCGTCCGGACTGGGCTGATAATAACTACACAGCCGTCAATAACACTGACACGGACCTGCAGAGCTAACAAGAGCTCTCGCGCGCCCGGGCTGACCCCGCAGCACTGCGCCATCTGGGACGAGGCGGAGCGGGAGGAGTTTGCGCTCTAAATGCGCAGCCTTTTATTCACACCGCGCTCTTGTAGAGTTATTATACACTAATTACACCGCTAGAAGAGCGCGCTGCAGAAACGGGGTTATGTACGGACTCGTGCTGTTGGGTGTGTGAGGCTCGCGGGCGATCGGCGACCAGTGTGTGTATGTGGTGTGTGTGTGAGGGTGGTGTGTGTGTGTGTGTGTGTGTGTGCCCGGCCGGAGGCGCCCTCAGCTCGGATGGACACGTGTCCTGTCCCCGGGACCTGTCAGGGCCCGAAGGGTCGCCTCTGATTTATTGGTCCAATCAAACACACGCGCACCAGCTTAACGCTTTCACACCGAGGCGGGAAAGTGGCACTGCCATAAAAACATTAGAGAGCAGCCCGCCTTCTACCAGCTCCTCTGTTACTACTGTTTATTACACAAACAACTCCAAACACCATCAAATAGGATTAAATTGCAAAAAACTCAAGATTCGTTTAATTGACATGACGATGAACAGCGTAATAAAAAAACATATACAAAACATGGTAATCAAAGATAAACTACAGTTAAAAAGGTATTTCAATATTATTATCACACTTTGCACAAAATTAAACGTGATTTATGAAATAATAATAATAATAATAATACAGTGTATGTTTTGCTGTTATTATTATTATTATTATTATTACACTATCAATAATAATAATAGCGAAAAATGCGTTGTACCATCATTTTTGTTACAACTACTAATTCTCTTATTACTATTATTATTGCTATTATTTGTAGTAATAGTTGTAGTTGTAGTTATAGTAATAGCACATAAATTACGTAAGAAATTATAATGTCCTTTTCTAAGAACAACAGCAGCAGGAATAAGAGGACCAAACAACAACAACAACAACAAAAACAACAACAACAACAACAATACTACTACTAATAACGTTGTACTCTTATTATTACTACTACTACTACTGTTACTACTGTTATTACTATTATTATTATTATTATTATTATTATTATTATTATTATTATTATTGTTGTTGTTGTTAATAGTAGTAGTCATAGCACTAGCAGCAGTAGTATGGCTTGTTCGAACAACAGTACCAAGAGCAGCAACAACAAAACAATATTAATTAATAAGTAATATAAGCAAATAGAAACATATAAATATTGGAATATTGTAAAATCTATTCATTCATTAATTCATTCTCTCACTCACTCACTCACTCACTCACTCACTCACTCACTCACTTACTCACTCACTCATTCTTTCATTCATTTCTTTATTAATTAATCAATTTAAAATAGTTTGTTTATTTATTTGATACCATCTCGACTACTTGAGAACATACGTTAAAAACACTGAACACAGCGGTTAACGTCTGAAAGCTGCTGGCAGCTCTGTTGGCCGTGAACAGGGTCATCTCCACACTGGACTCTCTCTCTGTGGGGCTCCTCTAACGGGCGCTTATGCAGATGACACATTTCTGATCCTCCAGCAGGCATCCAAACAAACACCGCGCGACGCTGCTTCCTTACGCAACACACACACACACGCGGCGCGTCGCAAATGATGAAATGGCAGAGAAACAAGCGCCATCAAAGGCTTCAAACGGGGACTCTCCGCAATCAGCGCGCTCCACCATCGCCTCCGCCGCGCCCGCGCGACACACAGCAGGCACGCGGGGCTGAGGCTACAGCAGCCGGCCCGGGCGCGCGCTGTACTGGGCCCGGAGGTGCAGGCTGGGGGAGGACTGCAGAGGCAGGAGCGCCTTACACCACACTGCCTTTAACTACTTCAGCAAACACACTTTTATTTGATTATCTCCAAAGGGAGACGGAGGAGGGGGCTGGGGTGGGGGGCTTTGTTTGCACTTAGTTGGAATTTTGCATCTGAGGTTTTGTTAGAGCTTAGAGGAGAGAGAGAAGAGGGAATGATTTCCTGTCAAATGACTCTTTCGGATATTTAAATATCAGGAGACTTTTCTACGCTAACGTGTAGCCCGTGTACTTCATCAATACGCCTTATTTTTCTATTCAAGACAAACAGAACTTACCGCTGCTCATCTTAAATAAGCCGTTCAAGTCATATTACTCATATGCTTTTAAAATATGAAATAATAATAGTATGAAAAAGTAGGCTAATGAATCTATCGATGTGGAAATGGCAGAGAGGATTAATCCAATAAATGAAATAGCTTCAAAAATGAATTGTAGATTGAACCACGAAGCAAGTGTACTTTCTGAAGGTCTGAAGTTTAATTTTATTTTACTGTTGGCATAATTTGAATAATGCGATTTTAATTACATTACACCAATCAATCACACATATTAGAGAGAGAACCTTACATGGGAGGGGAAGATGTGAGGACTTTCTAACAGTTCCCCGGACACACTGCAATTTGGAGCGAATTAAGGCCAGTCAATGAACTGCAACTTATTAAAGCCCTTCAACAAATGCCAGATTCAGCGAGCAGCTTCTGTTTGAAGCCTCGAGCTGGAGATCGAAGGGGGGCGGCTGCGTGGTGGTTGTCCTCTTTAGCATCCACAGGTGGTTTAGATCAGGCGCTAAAAGGCCGTGTGTTGAACCTGAGCGCCGAGGCTTCGTGTTTGCACTGCGCCGCCTGGCTCTGCTGCAGCGATGCAAATGAACTGACTTCAAATACAAATGCATTGTTTGGTTTGGTCGCGCTTCTTCCAGCCTTTTCTAGATGAAGGTGTGTTTGTGTGTGTGTGTGGGGGGGTGGTATTTGTTGGGGGGCTGAAGTGCAGCAGCAGCAGCAGCAGCAGCAGGAGTTCTGTAATTGATTGAGAAGGTGAGACAGAGAGAAAGAGCGCGCGCGGTGTCACGTGGGCCCTCTCGCAGTCCCAGCTCGCTCTGCTTGGTAAGTGTGAGGCAGGCTGTCCCGCGGGGCTCCCGCTGCTCCATTAGTGGCGCGGGGGTCACTTTCATTTAGCGCCGTTTACCAACATGTGCCCCCTCAGCAAAGCGCACAGCGAGAAAACAACTTCAGCTACTTTCACACACATGACTTGCATATATTATTATCATCATCCTGATAATAATAATAGTATATATATATATATATATATATATATATATATATATATATATATATACTTCTGTCTGTGACGTTATTTATTTATTTGTTTATTTATACATTTGTTTATTTGCATAATGTTTTTAACATTAGTAAACCTTATTTATTTGTTTATGAACGCTTGTATTATTATTATTATTATTATTTTTATTATTGGTGATGGTATTATTATTAATATTATTTTTTATTATTATTGTTATCACAATTATACTGATTATACATAAACTAGATTAACTCTATTTTTTAAACCTATA